GCAAGGCCGAACAGGGTATAGGGTTACAGCCTGTGCTGGACGGGGTCGCACTTCCCTTGAAGGCGCAGGTTCGCAGCTTGGGTGTGACCCTGGATTCATCATTGAGCCTGGATCCCCAGGTTTCAGCGGTGACCAGGGGAGCATTTGCACAGCTTAGGCTCGTGCGCCAGCTGCGCCCGTACCTTGGGAAGTCTGACTTGGCCACGGTGGTACATGCTCTGGTCACATCCCGCCTTGACTACTGCAACGCTCTCTACGTGGGGCTGCCCTTGAAGACGGCCCGGAAGCTTCAGCTAGTCCAGCGCGCGGCAGCCATGTTATTAACCGGAGCGGGACGCAGGGAGCATACAACGCCCTTGCTGTCCCAGCTCCACTGGCTGCCGATCTGCTACCGGGCCCAATTTAAGGTGCTGGTGTTATCCTACAAAGCCCTAAACGGTTCCGGCCCAAAATACCTTTCGGACCGCATCTCGGCCTACGAGCCCACGGGGACCTTGAGATCATCTGGGGAGGCCCTTCTCTCGATCCCGCCTGCTTCACAGGCACGCCTGGCGGGGACGAGAGAGAGGGCCTTCTCAGTGGTGGCCCCCCGGCTGTGGAACGACCTCCCTGTTGACATCAGACAGGCGCCCTCCCTGTTATCCTTCCGCAGGAGCCTAAAGACCTGGCTATTCGAGAAGGCATTCAAATGAATAATACGGCAACTGGTAATTGACATCTGGAACGGAACATGGACTATGATTTTGGATATGATTCTATGATATGATGAAGTGGATTAGTTAGTGTAACTTTCAGTATTGTGTATTGTTGTTGTGTGATTTTCTTGCTTTTGCTTTTTTGTAAACTGTTTTTATATGCTGTTCACCGCCGCGAGTCGCCCTAGGGCTGAGAGCGGCGGTCAATAAGTGCATCAAATAAATAAATAAATAAATAAATAAATAAATAAATATTTGAGGGCACCCAGATCTTTCAAGTGCTTAGGGTTTCTAAAGGTTTTCATCCAGACCAGTTTAAACTGTAATTACCAATATCCCATCCCACTGGTCAAGTTTGGCCGGGGCTCCTGGAAGGAACAAATATAAAACACCTTGAGGAACAAAGTTTGAGAGCCAATTATTTTAAAGGATCTCTTGGAGTCCTTCCATGCAGCCATATAATCCAGAATATCAAGGCAGAAAATCCAACAATATCTGTCTTGAACTGGTTTATCTGAGTCCATACTGCCATATACTTACTTACTTACTTACTTATTTGGGTGATCCCTTGTTATCCGAGTAGGATAGTCTTCCAAGATCAGTGTACTGGTGGGTCTGTAGGTGACTGTGGAGCCCTATTCTTGATCTACATCTTCTCCCACAGTGAGGGCATTGGTTTCCAGGTGGAAGGCGGTCTTGGTCAGGGTTGGCTTGATGCGCCTTCCTCTTGGCATGTTTCTCTCTTTCGCCCTCCATTCGTGCCTCGTCAAATTCTACAGCACTGCTGGTCATAGCTGACCTCCAACTGGAGCGCTCAAGGGCCAGGGCTTCCCAATTCTTGGGAACCAGAGTTTTTAAGGTTGGCTTTGAGCCCATCTTTAAATCTCTTTTCCTGTCCTCCAACATTCAGTTTTCCATTCTTGAGTTTAGAGTAGAGCAACTGCTTTGGGAGACAGTGGTCGGGCATCTGGACAACGTGGCCGGTCCAGCGGAGTTGATGGCGGGGGACCATCGCTTCAGTGCTGGTGGTCTTTGCTTCTTCCAGCACGCTGACATTTGTCTGCTTGTCTTCCCAAGAGATTTGCAGGATTTTTCGGAGGCAGCGCTGATGGAATCGTTCCAGGAGTTGCATGTGACGTCTGTAGACAGTCCACGTCTTGCAGGCGTATAGCAGGGTTGGGAGGACAATAGCTTTATAAATCCCTTGGTATCCCTACGGATGTCCCAGTCCTCAAACACTCTCTGCTTCATTCAGAAAAAAAGCTGCACTCGCAGAGCTCAGGCAGTGTTGTATTTCACTGTCAATGTTGACTTTTGTGGAGAGGTGGCTGCCAAGGTAGCAGAAATGATCAACATTTTCTAATGTTACACCATTAAGCTGTATTTCTGGCATTGGAGAGGGATTGGCTGGTGACTGCTGAAAGAACACTTTGGTTTTCTTGATGTTCAATGGAAAAATAATCCAATACAAAGCAGATAATGTCGGATTTTTTCAGCTGTTTGAAAAGGGCCTTATTCTGTGAGAGAAAGCTGGAGGCAAATTGTTCTCTCCCATCTTTGCCAATACAGTTGGCCATTCAATTCGGTTCTCAATGATTTGCAACAGCCTAACCATCATTTTAAAAGCCCTTAACAAGCCTTCAGGTGTGCTGACAGAGGGAAGAGGAAGGGGAAAGAGGGAAGGAAATGGCTGGGGAAGCAGGAAGGTCCCACCCATTTTGATGGTGGTTCCACCCGCTGCCCACTTCAGCCCTCCAGGTGTTTTGGACTTCAACTCCCACAATTCCTAACAGCCTCAGGCCCTTTCCTTTCCCCCCTCAAGCTGCTTAAGCTATAGGCTGGATTTCAGAGGAAGGAACTTGCAAAATCATCTCCGAGTATTCCTTGTATAAGGATGAATCTAGAATGTATTATATGATCAGTGTAGACCTATATAAGTCCAAAACACCTGGAAGGCCGAAGTTTGCCCATACCTGCTCTAAATACATTTAGTGGGGCAATAAAAATGTAAAATCCATAATTTAGCTACCTTTCAAAGTGTCGTGAATTTCTTTATGAGGTAGAGACAGTCAGAAAACACGGGCAGGGGAAATAAAGTGGTGGAGTTTTAGTCCTCAGGTCTACATTCTGCTTTGGGTGTTATGAGATGAATCGTATACATACACAAAACTGAGCTGTCCATGACTATAAGCTAAGCTAAGTTGGGTTCAGAGTTTGCCCATACCTGATCTAGAAAGACAAAGGTTGATAACTGCTGCATTAAATCCTTCCTGAAAAAATAAAGGAGAAATTAGGTAGCAAAATAGAAATGAAATGTGAAATGTTTGAGAGTGATAATACTGAATTGGGCTCTTTATATGGTTTCCCCCTACATCCTTTTACAAATGTGAATATCAGGAAAGGGAAATAACTTCTTCTTTCTTACTTAGGTCTTTGATTTTTCTGGGGCAGACATCTTAGCCACCTCCATTCCCAACTCCCAAGTGCATTTGTTGGAGAAATGCGGACATTTGATAGCACTTGAGAGGCCCAAGAAATCTGCTCAGCTCCTCTTGAAATTCTACAATTCTTTTCGTGACCTTGCAGACAAGAAAGTGGCATAAAGGAAGCACTGAAGATTCAAGCAGCTGAAGAAGTAAATGCTTCTTATTTTGCTTAAGCGACTGAAGAGGAAAAGGAAAGGCCCTGAGGCTGTTAGGAATTGTGGAAGTTGAAGTCCAAAACACCTGGAGGGCCCAAGTTTGCCCATGCCTGTTCTATAATGAATTCTCTTTGGGATCAAAGCCACTACATGCAAGTTTTGTTTTTGTTTTTAACTTGTTAGATGAGTGTTATGGGAGAGGAGACAGAAATGATGATTGAAGCTGATCTACAAATGCAACTCAAGTGTCAGATATACTTGAACACATTAAGAAATGCATTAGTATAATGAGAATTAAAGAAATCCCCTTTTCAATGGACACAGCGAGCGGCCTGCATTGTTTCTCTTTGTTTCAGCATTGTTCTTTTTGTGCTCCTAATCCTAATCCCTAAAGCCTGAATTAATCTCTATTTAAATACACCTCCCCTGTAAAGAAATAATTGGCAGTATAAAAACAGTTATATTTGCAAGTTTGAGAATATGCCTTGAGTTCGATGCAAAGCAACCAGGACTACCATGGGGTGTGGGGCCTCCAGTGACTCCGGTGAGTCTGGGATGGGGTGAGTATGGAGATGGTGTCACAAAGTAATAGAACAGAGAAGTGGCCGCAAAGGTCCCCCATAATATTCTTTCAGATGTTGGTATCCTGTTGTCTAGGTTGGATTACTGTAATGCACTTTATGTGGGGCTGCCCTTAAAGACGGCCCGGAAACTGCAGTTAGTGCATAGGTCGGCGGCCAGGTTGTTAACTGGAGTGAACTACAGGAAGCGGTCAACCGCCCTGTTTAAACAGCTTCACTGACTGTTGATAAGTTTCCGGTCTCAATTCAAGGGGCAGGTTATCACCTATAAAGCCCTAAACGGTTCAGGACCCACCTATCTTCGCAATCGCATTTTCCCCTGCACGATCTCTAAGATTCTCTGGGGAAGCTCTCCTCTCACTCCCACCTCCGTCACAAGCACAGTTGGTGGGGACAAGGGAGAGGGCCTTCTTGGTGGTAGCCCCCTGGCTCTGGAATTCTCTCTCTGGAATTCTCTCCCCAGGGGGATTAGGCTGGTACCCACCCTGTCCATCTTTTGTAAAGATCTAAAGATGTGGATGTTCCACTGTGCATTTGATTAGATGGGTTACCCAGAAAATTTTTGGCTCCCAGTTATGACCCAGTTTTCAGTCTCTGCACTTTACTACTGCCCCCTGCTTAGAGAAATAGTGTTCCACCTTATACTGCCTGTTATCCCCCAATTTTTGTCAACCGGCACTTGCACTTTATCTATCAACCCTTCCTCATAGTTGATTGTATTGGCCCCTCGCCCATTCCCAGTCCTGCATTGTTATCTCAGGTTGCTGCTTGTCTGTTTGATGGATGTTTAATATTGTGGTATGCCATTGTTGTTTTCTTTTGCATGTTGCTGTTTTATGAATTTTAATGTGTTATTTTAACCATGTTTGATAGGGCTTGTCCCCACGTAAGCTACCCCAAGTCCCTTTGGGGAGATGGAGGTGGGGTACAAAAATAAAGTGATTGTTATTATTATTGTCATTGTTGTTATTATTTGAAACACAACTAGATGAGTCCACAGCAGACAAGATCACTCTGCTGGATGTTATATTGGATCACATGTTGGACACTTCCCAAGTGTCTAAGACTGTGTGATGTATCGGCAAATGATGCAGTGGGTTCAACTGCTGAGCTGCTAAACTTGTTGACTGAAAGGTCGCAAATTCGAATCTGGAGAGCAGCGTGAGCTTCCGCTGTCAGCCCCAGCTTCTGTCAACCTAGCAGTTTGAAAACATGCAAATATCAGCAGATCAAGAAGTACCACTTCGGCGGGAAGGTAACAGCTCTCCATGCAGTCATGCCGGCCACATGACCTTGGAGGAATCTACAGACAACACCGGCTCTTCGGCTTAGAAATGGAGATGAGTACCAACCCCAAGAATCGGACATGACTGGACTTAATGTCAGGGGAAAACTATTATTATTATTAGAAGAAGACAATGATGCAGTCTGCTGTATCTGTCATTGATGGACAGACCAAAACTAGAGACTGGTCAGAACAGTTGCTCTTCATCCTGGGGGGAAATGACTGTTAGGATGCCATAGGGTTCTTTTCCAGCCCTGATACTATCCAACAACTTTATAAATTATGCAGATGATTTAAAAAATGCTTATCCAATTTTCAGAAATCACCAAAGGGGAAACCCGCTGCACCACCAGGAGACCCTTTTGTGGGTTTTTCTTGGCAGAATTTGTTCAGAAGTGGATTGGCCATGTTTTCCCGAGGTTGAAAGAGTGTGACTTGCCCAAGGTCACCCAGGGTTGAGTGGGGATTCAAACCCTGGCCTTGCAGCACTCAAAATACTGCACCATGATGGCTCTCTAAAACCATAAAGTAGACAAAAAGTTTAATAGGCTCCACTAAACCGGTATTGAGACAACAGCTTAAAAAAACCTCTGGACTGGTAGATTAATGCACAGGCGTACATTTGTTAAGTTGCATAGTTTCCTGTACTGATAGTAACCTGGGAATGCAGACAAAAGACAGGTTGATCTGTACTGGATCAAAACTCCTACGCAGTCAAGCAGTTGCTTAACCTGTTGAAGTGGCTCAAAAGGAAGGGCAGAACAGCATGATGAAAAGAATGAAATTGGAAATAGAGGCTGAAACATAATAGACCACGCATACTGGTTTTCATACATATTAAGGGAGGAGGGCACTATAAATGCCATTGGTTCTTGTTATTTGCCATCAAATTGGCTTCAAATTATGGTGACTCTATGAACCAGAGCTCTAGTCACCAACAGACCTGCTTCGGTCTTACAAATTGTGGACTGTTGGAACTTGCAGAGGAACCATTTCTGGAGAGCCGCACAATCCCTCAGCCTGTTGCAAAATTATTTGGTAGTTGTTTGCAGGACCTTACTGGATTAATTGCCCGTTACTCATTCACATTATATCAAACTTATTTTCCAGGTCCTCCAGAGTGCGAAGACCGGTAAGACATTGTTTCTAAGACCTTAAGATCATCTGGGGAGGCCCTGCTCTCGTTTCCACCTTCGTCACAAGTACATTTAGCGGAGACGAGAGACAGGGCCTTCCCAGTGGTGGCCCCTCAGCTGTGGAACCCCCTCCCTATAGATATTAGATCGGCCACCTCCCTTTTAACATTCTGAAAATGTTATGTGTATCAAAGCATATACTGTATCAGAGGTATCATCCTTTTCTCAAATGCAAAGGTGGAATGACTCCTGAAGTTAAAAGGTTTTTAAATGCTTCTGTAGAGCAACACAGCCCAACAACAAACAAAACCATGATGTTTTGGGTTTTAGGCCTGTTCATGGGGTTATTTGGATTCAGAAACATTGCATTGGCTAGACTGCATCAGTTCTAGTTTGTTAGATATGATTAAGTTTTATATTGTCAAGTAGATGGTGATTGGTAGATTGTATATGTTCTTTATCTCAAAAACTAGAGCTGATAGGAGGAAACTGGAGCCATTTTTGGAATTAGCAGATAAAATATACCCAGAAACGAGTGTAACATTTGAGGAACCAAAATCTGTGTTGGCCAATATGATGAATGCACTTTAAGGTGTGCTTTTGCATCAATTTGTATCAAACATTCTTATTCAAGCATTTAACATGTACTTAGGAGAGATTTTTATCCCCCCCCCCCAATTTTCTACTGTTTTATCTGTATTTAATTGTATTAAAATATTACTGTGAATTTTAATTGCTTTGGAAGCTGCCTTGCATTTCACTTTGGGAGAAAAGCAGCATACAAACGCAGTAAGACAAAGCAAAAAAAAAATTTGCAGCATCCTGCAAAATATAATTTATATCTTCACATTTGAGCACAAAAGCTTTTGAAATAATACTTAAAGACATTCATGGAACTTATTTAAAGGCATTATGTGGAAGCTATCACTTATTAAATTATCATTTTTATTTTGTTTCAGGGTAGAGAGTGATGGCAGGTAAGTCCCTTTGCTAAAGAGCATGGTTAAAGTCAAATACACCTCTTTAAACATATTGAGGTGAATATAATTTGCTCCATTTAAAAAAAAATTAATAAGATATCATAAATAAAATTATATTAAAAATTCTCAGTAGGATAAACACGGGACAGAAGATATATACCATAGTAGCCAGACATAGGAATGATGAAATATGAGCCTGGGAGTTCTTAACAAGTCACTCTTACTGACCCTTAGTTCTTCTAAGGGTTAATCAGGGAGGATATTAGTACTTAATTAATGTTCAAAGTTGTTGAAAGAGCTGGAGATAACATGTGAAGAACTCTGAACACCATAGTTGGATCCCTGTATCCAAAGATTCTAAACCCACAGATTCAACTATCTACAACTTAAAATATTAAAAATCCAAAAAGTAAACCTTCATTTTCCCATTTGATGCCATACATTTACTATGCCGTGTTATAGAACCGTAGCAACCACCTTTTTTTGTCTCCACTGCGATTCCTGGAACCAATCACAGTCAATACCAAGGGGGCACTATATATATGAAATAGCAATTATTAAAGAGCTGAGCACAGAATCTGCTACTTTAATGAATTACAGTAAGGTAAAGTTTTCCCCTTGACATTAAGTCTAGTGAAGTCCAACTCTGGGGAGTGGTGCTCATCTCCATTTCTAAGCTGAAGAGCCGGCATTGTCCATAGACACCTCTTAGGTCATGTGGCCAGCATGACTGCATGGAGCACCATTATCTTCTTGCCGAAGTGGTTCCTATTGGCCTACTCACATTTGCATGTTTTCGAAACTACAAGATGGGGAGCTCACCCCATCTTGTAGATTCAAACCACAGACCTTCCAACCAGCAAGTTCTGCAGCTTAGTGGTTTAACCCACAGCGCGCACCATGGCCCCAACTAATTACATTATACTTGCACAAATTATTCCCATTTGAAGAATTTAGCTTCAAATGTTAGGTCTTGGACAGAGAAAGCAACTATGAAGAGGGCAAGGGCCAAAAGTGATGCAATATCACTTTCAGTTATGCCAGGAGTGTTAGCACAACCAAAAGTGCATTACTCTGGTTCTATAATTCAGAAAAAAAAAAGACAAAATTTAAATTTTTGAAATGGAGCAAGGACTGATGTCTTTGTAGTGGGTGGGGTTCCCATTCCCCTCTGATACTATTTTTCAAATAAAGTCTTGGGTCCTGAAATTGACTGCAATTTTCCCATCCCTGCCGGAGCCTAATTTGTGCTAATACTATTTTTACTCATGTGGATTTCTCTAGTTAAAGCACAGGATTCAAATGAGTGCAAGCTTCACTCAGATACCACAGGGTTCTTGGTCCAATCGCAGCACTACCTCCAAAATGAATGACAAAATATAACTTTCCCCTCCTTCCGTCCTTCCTTCCATCCCAATACATGTGGGCTCTTGATCATGAGGACATATCCTAACAATGTCGATAACTTTGTGTGAGAGTGAGGCAGGCAGACAGAATTAAGAGGAGAAATGGGGGGAATGCAATAATCAAACTTCAATATCATGTTGGTACTTTTTTATTACCCTTTCATTATATTTCTTCCCTCTGTGTTAGACCACCAACGCAGAGCACTTACATTGGGCAAGGATCAACAGCAGACATTCAAGAAGAAATAAACAAGTGAGTATTTGTTTCCAACATCTCTGTCCTAAGCACCTATTTCCCTTTTCTCCACCACACATTTTTCTTCCACATTATTATCAACTGATAATAAGAAAGGAATGGTCTAATATACATTTGTACCCTCCTGATGGAAATGGCGCCTCACTGACGATCTGGAACTAGGTAATGAAATGGAAGCTATTTTAGGAAGTCCTGTCCAAATACAACTTGCATCAAATGGATACAGGCTGAACACCCTTTATACAAAATGCTCATGATGAAAAGATTTTTTTTTTATTCGAGGGGGTTGGGGTTCCTGTATTTACATATCATGATATATTCTGGAGACAGGACCCGAGTCTAAACATTGGAATTTACATAATCATAAAACTGGAAGAGCTCACAAGGGCCATCCAGTTCAACCCTTTGCAACACCCAATTCAGTCATATACATGTACGCATAGCCTGGAATAAATGTTTTTAATAATTTTGTGCATGAAACAAAGTGTGTGCACAATGAACCATCTGGTGGCAAATCAGGTCACTCTCTCAGCCACCCATGAGGCAGTATTGGTTTTGGAATATTTCAGCTTTTTGAACACCATATAAGACAGGTATGGGCAAACCCAGGTACGGCCCTTTGGGCTCTTTTCTCAGGCCCTTCTCTCTCTCACCATCTTATCCCTTCCTTCCTTCTCTGTTTCCTTCCTCCTTCCTTCCCTCTCTCCTTCCCCTCCCTCTTTCTCTATCCCTCCTTCCTTCCTTCCCTTCCACCCTTTTGTCCCCCCTTCCCTCCCTTCCCTTTTGTCTGTCCTCCCTCCCTCCCTTCTCTTCCTCCCCTCCTCCTTGGGGATGTTTAGCTGGGAGAAGAGAAGGTAGAGAGGGAACATGAGAACCATGTTTCAAGATTTAAAAGGGTATCCCATTGAGGAGGAGGAAAAAACTGACATTCTGCTGCTCTAGAGATCAGGGCCCAAGGATGCAATGCTTTCCAATGGCAGGAAAAGAGATTCAACTAAAAAGATTAGGAAGACCTTCCTGAGAGTAAGAGCTGTCGGAGAGTGGCATAGGCTGCATGGGAATGTGGTGGAGTTTCCTTCTCTGGAAGCTTTTCCACAGAGGCTATTGGGAGTGCATTGATTGTGCCTTTTTGCATGGCAGGGGTTGGACTGGATGGCCCTTGAGGGTTTCTTCTAGCTCAAGGATTCTAGGATTCGCTATCAGGAGTAGGCAGTACGAAGTCTAATGGATACACTTTCTCTCTCCCATCCACCATCTTATCCTGACAAAGGCCAACCCTTTTGGGATCTAAATGTTTTCTGTTTACCTTCACATTCTGTCTCCGAAAGAGAAGACGAAGGGGAGGAAAGAGCAAGGAAGGGACTTCGGGAGAACCCCTTCCCTCCTGGCCCACCCACCCCACTCCAGCCCGCCACGTGTCCTCCAAGTTAGATAGTTTGCCCATGCCTGATATAAGAGCTGCTCAACCTGTACACAAATATATACTGTCCAGGGAAGTGAATCCAAATCCAATGTGGCTTTTGGGAAACTTAAGGTGGGTGAGAGAGAATCACAGATAGCATGTACAACCACCACTTGGGTTTTCAAAAACAAAAACCCTATCACAATCATTTTAGGATATATTACTGAGTCACTATTTCCTTTTTATTGTTAGCCTGGAATAAAAGTATGAAGAATGGACAACCTGATCCCAGAATCCTTGCCACCCAGAACACTTTGCATTACCATTTAAACAAAGAAGGATTTGTGAGTCTGCATAAGCCTGGATGGGTTTTTTTTTAGATCTACAAAAGGCTTTTTCACGTTTTCATCGTGTTTGGTAAGATAGCCTTCACAGGGGTTGTTCCAAGACCGTGGAATCTCCCCAATTCTCCTTCTAGCCACAGCTAGGCTTAAAATATAGGCAGAACTTTGACTCTGAATACCTGTGACAGAAGAGCTTTAAATGGAGTGTGCTATTTTTTATTATTTAAATATGCTTTAACTTTTTCATTTAATAAAATTTGAAACTTTAGTACTAATGAGGGGTTTAAAACTGTACTTTGTTTCAAATTCTTGTAAGCCACCTTGGATCCTGGGAGAAAGGTGGGATACTAGTGGATAAAATAACTAATTTGGTGTTTATTAGCAGAAAACGTGGTTGGCCATGGCATGGTGGCAACGGCTGTCTCCATGATAACACACATGATACCGGATGAGGACCAAGTTTTGACCAGGCCAGAAAAGAATTTTAAAAGCTCTAAGCTATGTTGTAATGTCATGTGGAGACATGGCCAAATAGTGGTAGTGTCAGTTACAGCTGCTTTCTCTAATCCGCTTTGGGTTGTATTTATTATTGTGCTTTTAAAATGTTGATGTAATCTGCCTGGGAAGCTCGGGCTGAACCTTGAAAGCAAATAAATATAAGGATCTACCCAGGTTTAAAGACAATCTCGCAGTGACAGCATGTGTTCAGAATCCGGTCTGCCTCATGGTTTGTGTAACATTTGGCCTCCCAGGAGGCTCTGGTTACTAGCCTTAAACTGGATATGCTTGAAAAGGGGAATTTCAAAAAGAAACTCCAAGGATAAATGCTGAATTACAACTCACCAGGCGTTTGGTTTTATGAACTAAGAAAACTATTTTTTTTATCACATTGTAATCAGTGCACAAATGTCTGGAAATGTGTGTTATCAACACTACATTTTGAACCAGTACTGTGACGACTTAACAGACACTTAAACTTTAATATACTTGTAACAATATGCATTTGTTCCATTAAATTCCACTCTCGCCTCATGGATGTATTTGCTTTTTTTGCACCATGTGTAAACGTACCTGTTAACTTGGGAGTTCTTCAAATATCTGATGAAGAACACTTTAGCCCATAAAAGCTATGTAAGAAGAATGGGAGTAAATTTTAACATGTCACAAACTGATTACGATTCATGTAATTTATCCTCTAAAATGTCAGTTAACTTTTTTGGAGGTGGGGGATGGAATCCCACTATCAGGTAACCTCAATTCAGAAAGCAGGTATAAGTCACCAAACTATTTATTCTAGCTATACATTTTGGAAATTCCTTTGTATGTGGGGGGTGGGGGAATCCAAACTCTTAAAAAATAAAGTAACAGAAGTAACCGGCACATGACTTGGAGAACAGCAGCAAGAGGGGTACAGAAGTGTTTCCGGGTGGGAGGTTATACCCAGAAGGTTTCTAATGACACATATAAGTTTGGCCATATCCAGGCTTCTCAAGGCTAGAAGTTTCAGGCTGAAGGACACATTCCAAAATATGTATTTTCTCCGCCTAACATGCTAATTACCAATGTGCAAGGATTCTGATATAAACCACTCAACTGTATCATTTTCCACCTACATTCTGAACTGGTCTGGCCTCGGAAAGACTGGACAATGCAGGAATATAGGAAACTACACTAAGTCAGGATAGATTTGCCTATCGAAGTAAAGGTTTCCTCTTGACATTAAGTCTAGTTGTATCCAACTCTGAAGGGTGGTGCTCATCTTCATTTCTAAGCTGAAGAGCCGGAGTTGTCTGTAGACATTCCCAAGGTCACGTGGCTGACATGACTGCATAGAGCACCGTTACCTTTCCGCCGAAGTGGTACCTACTGATCTACCCACATTTGCAAGTTTTCGATCTGCTAGGTTGGCAGAAGCTGGGGCTAACAGCGGTAGTTCACCCAGATTCCAACCGCTGAACTTTTGGTCAGCAAGTTCAGCAGCTCAGCGGTTTAACCTGCTGCGCCACCAGGCTCAACACTATTCCGACTAGCAGTAATTCTGAAAGCTTTAGGTAGATCAATGCAGTTCCTATCACCTGCCGAAATCTTTTTAACGGAAAAGTCAGGGCCATCATTCAGTGTGCTGCGCTCTTTTTCTGGCTTATCGTCCTTCACCTTGGAAGCAGTAACATTCTTGCATCACAGAGCTGTTTCTTTTCAGTGTTCTCAGTTCTCACTTAAAAACCACCATGTCATGTGACCTGTAAGGACTGAAAACAAAACAAAAAACCAGCATTTTCTGAAACAGGATTAAAAAACACACTCGCACACATACACAAGTCTGTAATCAAGAAGGCTTGACAATGGCATGTCAGTTTTTATTAGTTGGAAGTGAAATCAAACCCCAGATCAGACCAAGACCAGCATCTTATATGGCGGATGTTCTCTCCCCAATATGGGCAAGAACTGCTCTTCTCTACAAATCTATCCAAACTTTTTAAGGGGAGGAAATTAAATACTAGTCAAAAGGTGAGTTAAAATGAGCCCCTCCCCAACTGATTTTTAAAAAGAGAACGTCTCACATACTTGATGCAACAGACCAAATTGCTGGAACCAACTTGTGGAATTCTCACAGGCAAGACACATTTAAAGCACTTGGAGCCTTGAGGTAGCATCTTTACGCAAAATTAAAATGATCTTTGTGACTAGAGGGATGTATTCATAGCACATAGTTTATGTTTTAGTTAGGCTCAGCAAATCTGTGTCATGCTACTCAGAGTTAAGGGACCACTTTCTTTTTCCTCGGTGATCAAGCTTCATCGCAGCCCAATAGCCTGCCCAGGGAGAACCCAAAGAGAAGGCCTCTTCAATGAAGTACCTGGTTGGAGCAACTGGAACACACTCATTCACCAGTTGTACTCATAACAAAGGATAAGCTAGGAAGAGAGATACCCAGAAATGTTGTATTTTTCTTTTTCTGACAAAACCAGTTTACAACTATATGTCAAGAAATGAAAAACATGAGAAAGGGGTTATCCTTCTTTCCTTTGTAAAACTCTCTTGCTGATTTTTTTTTCATAGACAGGATTTTGTTTAATACATTTTGTAAAAACTTGTGCTGTGACATGAACAGAAATATAGTAATATCAGGACACCGTAAGCACTTCCTGGCAACCTCAGAAATTACACATTTTTAAGTCACTCATTAGCCACTTTGCTGCTGAGTTCTCTTATTAAAGCTAGACATTGCTATTGGATGTAGGAAAGCTTATGACAGATTTCATTTCCCTTTAACAAAGAGAGACACCAAAAGTAGAAAGAAAATTCTTGAGAGCTGTTCATACAAGCCTTAGGGAAGTAATGAAGCCAAGGGACCCAGCAACTGAGTTGAAATAGTTTGTGTGTACAAGACTGCTCTAACTAGCTTCCATTCTAAATTATGCACACAAAAATAATTTTATACAACTGTATACCAAATCATTTTATACTTTGACAAAGCCTAAATGTATGTTTAAAAATCAGTGTTGATCTCTTCCATGTGAGGAGCAATCCACACAACCACAAATTGGCCTATTTAACTGTAACTGGGAAAAAACCCTATCTGTCCTGACTTGAATGTACAAGTAGAACTTTCACACTATTACAGGAATGCCACTGAATTGTGCTCATGATAAAGTGATTCATAAAACCAGTTCACCATCCATAAATACAGATACATAATAGTTTGTACAGATTGAAAAAATATGCCCAATTTGGGGTTGTGCAATTCAGCCCTTCAACGGCCCATTTTTAGGATAGCACAGAACATTATCTCCAGCAGGAATTCTCCCTAAATCTGCAGCAACTAACATAACGCCATCTATTTTACGCATCCACTTTGAGTTCTGCGCATGGCTTCCAGCACATGTCTCGAGTCTTGCCAGGGAGAGAAGATGCCATACTGTAAGCACTGGGCAGTCAAATATGAGACTGCACCCAATAGACACCAAACCTTCCAGGATAAGGGTCCAGAAAAGGATGAAGGACTTGAGGGGGAAACCTCTTCTGCCTGGCCATTGTGGGCACAGAATTAACTTGTGTGGTTCAGATGAAATTTTAAACAAGTTAAGGATCTCAAGAATAGCTTTAACTTGTACCAGCTCTACAAGCTTATAGAAGCACAACTTCCAAAAAAACGTACACAAACTAAGAAATGTACAACAAAAACAGTATCTTTGGTGCAAAATATTATGATGAGTGGAGTGTATTTGTTTCTGGGCTTTCAAGTCTGTAGTAAATATGTCTCCTAACACATGGCTGAAACTGAGATGCTAGAAAAAGAAAGCTGAGGGTGTGAACATCAGGGCTTGAACATTATTTCCAGTGGTATTCATTTACAAAAAAAGTCAATTATTATCATTCCCTGATTTAGCAATGTATTAAAATTAAGTCTTAAACTATGAACAGAGACATTTGTAGCACATTGGAAAACGGTTACTGACTAGGAACCAATCAGTGTGCGGGCCTTTGGGAAAGCCAATAAGAATGAATTCAGAAAGGGTAGAATTATTTCAAGTTTAGAGGGCAGAGCTACCATTTTTTTTAAAAAAAATTGCGATTCCATTAGATGATAAACCACAATTAGTGGAAATCTATTTCCAAACTAGACATGGTCTTAACATGCTTAGAAAAACTAATAATGAAACAGGCAATTCACATTACTACTTATCAATTTAGGACCTTATCCTTTGAAGAATGCTGTTGCTAATGCTATGAAAAGACCACTGCTAAGGTCCATTTCATACAGACATAATACTTGCATAAAATTTAATCAAGATAGTATCTTGAATACGAAGAGCTAGAGAAACACTTTTTTTAAAAAATGCTGTGGATCTAGAAGGCATTTTAAAGGAAAACAAACTGACTGGATCTGAGTACAGAGTTACTGCTTCAACTGTGTTTCAATTGCCTGGAGTGTAAATGACAAGTTTTCATTTTAGATAATTTTTTTGTATAAAAACATTCATTTTGAAGTAAAATGCTGCGAATTTTCACAAGAGATTTAGCAAAGAGACTTGGCAATTAGAAAGTGTAGACTTAATTGTGTTAGAATGTTGTAAAATATTAACTGAAGGGAGCCCACTTTAGTACATAAATATTAAGATACCCAAAAATCAACTCTTTTCTTTAAAAAGAAGAGCATTAAAACTCATTCTGCCAAGGGTCATGCAAAATCTAGAAGTATAAAGAATCCCTACGTGCAGGAATTTGCAGTATGTTCTATTGTTTCCATCAGACCACAAAAATCAGTCCAATTTAAGAAACACAAAAAGGACAATGCAACTGGAACTCTTGGGCCATTGAACTCCATGGCCTATTCAAATTCACTGCAATCTAAAATGTAAAAAAAAAACATTCTGTTTACTGTTACATATACTGCTCATAATTTGATATTTTGCTTTAGTATTCACTTAAAGGTCCCTTGAACCTTTAAGCATTTAGAGTTGCAGTGTCTGCCAAGTCCAGCAGGTGGTAGGAAAAGCTCAGACCTAGCTATTCCTAGATTTGAAGCCTTCCCACCCCCTTTGACATTACCAACTATTTCAACTTATCATCACCATCATTGTCATCATTATTATTAAAAGCAGATTCTGATACTCTAGTCAAGAAATTCAGTGTCAAAATGAAGTCATTGTTAAGGAGGTGGCTGTCCCTGAGGGAAGGAAGAGCCACCTGCTATCCAAAATCACTGATTACAAAGTCCTTTCTTTTCTCTTTTTTTTAAGAGCAAGAACAACCGACACAGGGCGCCGCATCTTTCGTATCAGGCACTTGAATTGTTGGAGAGACATGCCATCCTGAACCAAGCAATAAGAAAGGAGGTCTAAAAGACTCAGCCGTAAGCTAGGTCTAATAATGAAATTTCAGCAGCAAAGTGGAGGCCTGGAGCAAGCCTTGACCCATCCAGCTTTGCTGAGACCTATGAAGGTTTCTAAAAAAAATGCCCAAGAAGACACCAACAGCCACTGTCCCGTAGTGTCCTTTTTTTTCATTTTTGATGCTGCTTTGTTGCTATTAGGAGACTTCTCTGTATCTTGAACTGAGAAGGCACTTAGGTATTCTGTGCCTAATTGCCTGGATTTGTCAGGTCCATGCTCGAACCAAACAACGCCACCAGCTGCTCCTCATAATGTGTTATATTCCTCTTCATAATGTCCATGCAGGGGCCAAGTAGCCGCTCAAATGCTTGCACATCCATAACTGAAGAAAAATACAAAATATATGGAAGGATCAATGCTGACTTCAAAAGAAACACACTAGCATTATTTATTTACAGCATTTATATTTCACCCTTTTCACCCCAAAGGGGACTCAGGGCAGATCACAAAACACAGATATGCAGCAAACATTCAATGCTGTTTATACACTGACAAGACAGACAATTGTACATAGAGCTATATATAGGCTTTTCCCATCTTCGGCATCTTGGAGGCTTGCGCTGGGTTCCGACCACAGAGGGGTGCAATAGCACTCCTTTGAAGGACAAGAAAACAAGGGAATAAGTAACATGGGAAAGCTAGTCCATGGGAATGTTAAAAGTAAGGCTACAGGAATAGCTCCTGAGTTATTGGTCAAGCCTGAAGCACTGGAAGAAGGGTTAAGAACTGTACCTAGACAGATGGTAACTTGATGATTCAGAGTGCTCTTTCTACATAAGTTCTGTTTGTGTACTCTAGTGCAGTGTTTCTCAACTTGGGGATCGGGATCTTGCGGGGTTGCAAGGGGATGTCAGAGAGCTCATCAAGGACCATCAGAAAACACAGTATTTTCTGTTGGTCATGGGGATTCTGTGTGGGAAGTTTGGCCCAATTCTCTCAATGGTGGGGTTCAGAATGCTCTTTGATTGCAGGTGAATTATAAATCCCAGCAACTACAACTTTCAAATATTTTGGAAGTTTTCCCCAAACTCCACCAGTGTTCACATTTGGGCATATTGAGGATCCGTGCTAAGTTTGATCCAAATCCATCATAGTTTGAGTCAACAGTGCTCTCTAGATGTAGGTGAATTACAACTCCCAAACTCAAGTTCAATGACCACCAGACCCTTCCAGTATTTTCTGTTGGTCATGGGAGTTCTTTGTGCACCAAGTTTGGTTCAATTCCATTGTTGGTGGAGTTCAGAATGCTTTTCAATTGGAGATTAACTATAAATCCCAGCAACTACAACTCCCAAATGACAAAATCACCCCCAACCCCACCAGTATTCAAATTTGGGCGTATCGGGTATCTGTACCAAATGTGGTCCAGTGAATGAAAATACGTCCTGCATATCAGATATTTACATTACGATTCCTAACAGTAGCAAAATCACAGTTATGAAGTAGCAACAAAAATAATTTTTGGTTGGGGGTTTCTACAACAGTATTAAAGCAGCATTAGGATGGTTGAGAACCACTTCTCAAGTGCAAAACTGGATTGTGATTCCATTTGGGTTCTCTTAACTAATCTTGAAGTGGCAGAATATGCTTGGTTGCTCCAGAATATGCTCATTTTTTTCTCCTGGATTAAAATAATGTCTAAAATACCCCTATACCTTTTTTTTTTAGCTTGCCACCTAAAGGCTGTTTTATTTATTTATTATTATTTATTTACAGGTTTTATATTCCGCCCTTCTCACCCCGCAGGGGACTCTGGGCGGATCACAGTGCACACATATATGGCAAACATTCAATGCCAATTTTGACATACAACATATACAGACATAGACAGAGGCTATTTAACTTTTTCTGGCCGCCAGGGGAGCTGTCGCTTTCATCGTCCATCAGCGACACTGCTGAAGTACTTCTGCATTCCCCGCATGCTTTTTGCTGGAGTGCTTGCTGGAGTCTTTTTTATGGTCTCATAAATTAGTTAATTTAGCCTCCTCATACTTTAGGGTGGTACCTAATTTTCCTACTTGATAGATGCAACTGTCTTTCGGGTTGCAAAGGTCGACAACAGGCTACACAATTGGTTGGAAACCCACTCCAACCCGGGCTGGCTTCGAACTCATGACCTTTTGGTCAGAGTGATCTTAATGCAGCTGACACTCAGCCAGCTGCGCCACAATCCCGGTTTTAGACGTTTACATGAATCCAGGACAAAACAAAATAGCCAATAGAGAATATTCTGCCACTTGAGACCAGATTTGAGGGTATTTGAACAGAAGGATGACATGAAAAAAGAAAGGAGTCCTTACCTAAACATTTTACTTCTCCAACAGCATAGGCAGAGGCTGCTCTGGGTTTGTTGGTAACAAGTGCAAGTTCTCCAAAATACTGTCCTTTCTGACACCGAGCAATCTCTATCTCCTGGTTTGCATCCTTGCCAGTGATAGTCTAAATAAGAAACGTTACACTTGGGAATGATCCTTGCTTGCAGGCATAAATTATACTCTTAAATTTCCCTGTTCCAATACTGTTCTTCCCAATGATCACCTATAGATACCCTGTTCTCAATTTCACAGTCACCACAGGTAAGATTGAAGATGACAGAACTTTGCTGTGATAGTCATATAGTCCCTGATTGTTGGCATATGGAATAATTTGTGTATACCACAGCTCAGCTTGGATCCAAAATTATTTGAAGAACCTTAACTCTCTTTATTAATCTGTTAGAAATCTGCAATCGTCTAGGGAGGGCCTTCTCTCTATCCCACCACCCCCTCAAGCCCGTTTGGTGAGAACCTTTTCGGTGGCTGCTCCAACTTTGGAACTCCCTCCCAAAGAAGACCAAGATGGATTCATTCCTACTTGCTTTTTGCAGACTAGTCAAGAAAAATCTCTGCTGCCAGGCATTTGGGGAATGATGGGATGAGGGCAGGGAAGCTTTAAATATAATTTTAATTGTATTTATTGTATTTTAACTTTATACCCATGACAAAATATTTAATTGTTTTTAAATTTTTGTATTTGCTTTGTTTAAATTTTTTTATGGTGTCATGGTATTGTTAGCTGATTTGATTCCCTATGGGGAGAAAGGTGGGATAAAAATATAGTTAATAGATATATGTAATTAAATAAGGGAGTCACAGGCTCACAAGCACCCTTCCTCTTCCTCTCTGTTGCACGCATTCTCTCTCTTATGTCTTGTTAGCAAGGGGCAATGTCACACTTACATCTATACTAATCATCGCGGACTCTTAATTTGATTAACCAATTAATATTAACCATGCTGAATGCTGCTACCAGGATGATTATGAACAGATTGTTCCAAGAATACAAAAGTATTTACTCTTCTGTGGTTAAGTTGCCAATTCACTGGGCATTAAGCATAGACTAAGACTTTGTGACTCCTGTATGACTTGAAATTCAGAGACTGAGAAGGAATATCCTTTGTTTTTTGCGACATTGGTCTGGGGCATTTGTAGCCATTCCAGAATTTCTACTAAGCCAGGGGTCCACAAACTTTTTAAACAGGGGGCCAAGTCACAGTCCCTCAAACTGTTGGCGGGCCGAATTATAATTCGAAAAAAACATGAATTAATTCCTATGCGCACTGCAAATACCTTATTTGTAGTGTAAAAAACATTTTAAAACAATACAATAATTAAAATTAAGAACAATTTTAACAAATGTAAACTTATTAGTATTTCAATGGAAAGTGTGGGTCTGCTTTTGGCTGATGAGATAGGATTTTTGTTGTTATTGTGTGCTTTCAAGTAGTTTCATACTTAGGTTGACCCAGAGCGAGGGCCGGGTAAATGACCTTGGAGGGCCGCATCCGGGCCCCAGGCCTTAGTTTGAGGACCCCTGTACTAAGCCATCCATCCATGTGTCTTGGTTAACTTCGTTAAGGACTCGTCTATATAAAATTCTTCTATATAAAATTTTACTGGGTTTGTTTATTTATACTTAAATACTTTGTTTATTGATTCACCTTTTTCTATAAACATGGCTAGGGTCCCTGTAGCATTAAGTATAAAACTGCTTCCTCTGCGGGACACTGGGGATACTTACTTCACTATAATATCTACATTTTGTTATTTTAACTGGCTATTTTTCTTGACATATTCCTATCCTGAATTTTAATCAATCATTACCATGAAAATATTTCAACTCACCTTGCTTTTAATCAAGATTTTTACTTCACCACACTCGACAATGTAAAAGCTGTCTGCCTTATCACCCTATGAAGACAAGAAATATTTTGATATGTTTACAAAAACTGCAGTTAAACATTTGCTTCAAAGCCAGAATTGTGTCATTTCTAAAGCAGCTGCTAGAAAAGACAGACAACAACACAGAGGGAACAGGACTGGTCTGAAAGGGATCTAAGTACATGGTGTAAAAACACCCAGAAAAAAAATACAGAACTGTTCTTAGAAGTGAAAGATGAAAGTTATGCATTGTCATGATTTGAACAAAGGTCACTCAAAGGTGTAATCTCTCTTTGCTTTTTAAAATCTAGTATAAATAGCAAGGCATTCAAAAAAAAGTAAGCAAACAGTTTTGTGATGTGGCAAGTATCTCCTTAAAATTACTTCCCCATAAAGGATCGAAAGAGCACTTTAATTTTTTTAAAATTAAACCTTTCCTAATTTTCCATGAGCACCCCCTTTGACCTTGGACAAACAATCTGTGATTACATACTCCCACACCCTTACCAAAGAACAGAATGTAAATCATCAGGCTTCCAAGAATGGCAACTAGGTTTTATAGGCCATGTTTTATAGACCATTTATGCAATTCATTTGTCTAAATTAGTACTTGACTGTGTTTCATTCATAGCATTTTAAGTCTGAGACTGTTGGAAGCACTCTCAAGCTTCGGAGGGATTGGGGCATATATGGTTAAATGAATAGCTAGGATATCTTAACAGCTGGAAGGGAGTTTCAGATGTGTGTGAAGCAGAGAAGAAGGTACCATTCCCATGAATGGAACTTCTGACAGTTCTGGGATGGGTGTCAGCAGCAATACACACCAAAAAGTAGTGTAGCAAATCATTCTGATTTGAATTAGCTACCAGTGATACCAGTGAGAGAATTTGACAAGTCTATCAAGTCCCACCCTGCAAGAATTCCAACAGCTATCAGCTAATTTATTTATTATTTATTTCTAGTGTTTATATCCCATCCTTCTCACCCTGGAGGGCATGGGGATGGGTGACTAAGGGGGGCTCACAACCAGCAACCATTAGATGCCAAACACACCAATTATAATAACTGGGTTATTGTAAGTTTTTTCCGGCTGTATGGCCATGTTCCAGAAGCATTCTCTACTGACGTTTCGCCTGCATCTTTGGCAGGCATCCTCTGAGGTTGTGAGGTCAAACCTCACAACATCTGAAGATGCCTGCCATAGACGCAGGTGAAATGTCAGGAGAGAATGCTTCTGGAACATGGCCATGCAGCCCGAAAAACTTACAACAACCCAGTGTTTCCGGCCATGAAAGCCTTTGACAATACAATTATAATAACAATTACAATTAAAATATTAGTTAAAACATGAATTATAAAATATTCATTCAAAATTACACAAATCCAAAGTTACAATCTGAGCCTGTCCATTGTCAGTCACATAAGTCATTTACATTATTATTGCTGTGTCTGCTGCTCAAATGCTTGGTCCCACTGCCATATTTTAAGTTTTATTCCTAAAAGATAGGAGGGAGGGGTTTCAAATCTAAGGAAAACAACTCTGTTCTCTTGACCGAAACATTTCTGTTTCTCAATTTAATTTGGACTGTGGTGTGTTGGAGGGGGGGATGCTTCCCGGAACAAAACATTATCTGACCCACTAGTTAGGCCAAGACCGTAAACCGGAGAAGACCAGAATTATAAAGTAAGAAGTTAATGTTTTTTGTTCTTCAACAGAAAATCATGTGGGTTAAAAGCATGTGGGTGCTTTTAACAGTTTTGCAAGAATGCCTGCAGACCTAAATGGTGACCTGAAGACTCTGATGGTGGAAAGGAGGGTTATCTGTCTAATAAAAGACTACAATTAAACAATGTGCTGTTTTAAAGAAGCACCCACTGCAGTCTAAAAAGGAATGCTCAGCATATGAAGCTTTGATGTGTTGGTCTATTTCCAGAGCATCAATAAACCACATCTCTAGATCAGTATGTTCCTGCTGTTTCCAAGAAATAAAAGCATTTAGATTGCCCTCCCCACAAAATACAATGTTTTTGTTGTTCTCTCATCAAAAAAATTAACATTAAATGTATCAACTGTAGAGTAAAAGGTAAAATGTATCAGTATTTATAAATCAATATTAATGGAACCAAGGAACAACAGTTGAACACAACCACCTGTGTTGCAGGCCAACAATGTCTACATACCTGAGAAATGATACGCTCCCCATCTTGAAATATTTTCTCCCCTATTACATCAACAATTTTCATTCGTTCTGATGGCTGCAACATAAAGAGAAAGTGAATTCCACCTTTCTTGAATAATCTGCTGAATTAAATACTTTTATAACAAGTAAATGCAAATATTTATGAAGACAAACACAAAATGCTCTTGGGTTGTTGTTTTTTTGTTTTGTTTTTTTGTATGCTTGTGGTATTCCAATAACTCATAATTTTGGCCCAAATGCTTTCGTGGTTTAAACAGAAACAGACTACCACATAACAAGTGTCCACAGCAGTTTGTTGCTCAGGTACTCACCAGGAAAATGATACCAAGATTAGTAGCAACTCTACTCTAAAATGTAAGAAGTCTATGGTTTTCAATATGTGCAATGAAGAAAATCCCAACGCAATCATTTTTTCTAAACTTTTTTTTACAAAAATAATTACCTCCAATGACTTAAGAAGTGGTACTGACTCAACAAATAGTTCATATGTCTTCCTTTTCTTTGCATTGTTTTTGAGGATAATTCTTCTGAATGTCACCCGGTCCTTTAAGAAACAGAATGAGAAGGCAGGTTATTGCCTTTGATCATTTCTATCTGGAGTAGCCAAAACAGGACCCCATAAAAATCAAAGAATTCACTTACTTTAACATTGGAATTATGTCTCAATTATTATTTTGAACAAGAATCATAAGCATCTATAATCACTGGCACTATTACTAACTCCTGAAAATGCCAACAGTAATATTAATTTTTTGGAAGGGAAAAGGAAAGGGAAGTGAGAAGTAAAAATGCCCTTTTCTATCACTTTTTTCACACATCTATACATCTGATGCAGAGAAAGCAGTCAAGAAACTCCCTTTTGAGATTGCACAAACATTTATTTAGACAAACATTTATTTAGGCAAGCAACTGGTTTACTCTGGGGCAAGCTTAGGAAACATGAGCCTGTTCAGCTAAAACAAACCCAAACCTAAGCAAGTACATGCAGAAAGATTGACCCAGAACACATTAATGTGTGCCTCACTGCATTCAGTGTTCTTGCATTATTGAACTGGTTACCGTTCATAAAATATATATTTTAATGCATCCGTCCTCAGAAATTCAGGAATGAACTATAGCATTTTAAAAAGGCAAAGAACAATATACTCTCACGCACCAATTTTCCACATAAATCACCAAGAAGCTTTGTCCTCTGCAAATTAACTACTCGAATCAGGATCCACTAAACAGTCTTAGAAAAGAACTTTGTAAGTTATATAAGAGAGAGTAATGTATTGTAGTGGTTTGAGTATTGGATGATAACATTATAGCCCAGTGGGTTGTTGTAGGTTTTTCGGGCTGTATGGCCATGTTCTAGAAACATTTTCTCCTGACGTTTCGCCTGATGTTTTGCCTGCATCTGTGGCAGGCATCCTCAGAGGTTGTGCCAGGTTTGTATCCCTGCGCAGCCATGGGAACCCATGAGCTAAACTTGGGCAAGTCACACACACTCAAGTCTTAGAGGAAGACAAAGATGAATAGATCTTAACATGAAACCCCTTAGGTTTCATGTTTCTTGGGTCTCCCTGACATTAGAAATGACTCGAAGACACCAACAAAAATAGTCCAATTGGGGCATAGCAACCTAGACCTTTCTAAATGTATCAACTACAAGCAGGGAAAATAATGGGCAGCCACAGCAATGTAAGCTGCCATGTTTACCTTCACCTACAGATAAGCACATATGTTTCTCCATCCACTAGGTGGCAGTATATAATGGATTAAGTAAGCTTGACATTTTCTCTAAATTCCACTCACATTCTTGTTAGCTTTCAATGTCAATTGTCTTACCCATGCCCAAACAGTGTTACTTGTGACAGTCAAACTTCCAGTTTCTTTTGCCTGAATATATATTCAAGAGGACTATTTTTTCAAGAACACATTTCAGTCCACCTGTGTCATAAAAATGCATATGCCCTTACTCATGCTGTGCTATGCATAAGAATCAATGCTTACAGTGTTCCTGACCAGTTTTGTGCAAATGGGTGCAAGTTTCATTTTAATCAACAAGCCCACCTATTGTAATTTTCTATCGGCTCCTACACTTCGTCACTGTCCACTGTCCTATAGACCCGGCATTCAAATGACAAATTATAGTACCCTTCTGTTACATGTTACAGAGTGAGGTCCCAAAACAGTGGCATAGTTATACCATTACATAGTAATGGTATAAGATTTCCTTTTTGGAATTTTAAAAGAATATTTTCAAGTTGTCGATGACTAGATCCATGGATATAGGGGGGAGACAACAATAAAATTATAGCAAAAAAGAAAAACAGGAAATAAAAATGACTCAAATTGCAGGGAAATAAAACTTCTACCTAAACATTAGAAAAAACTCCCTAGTGGTAAAAGCTGTGACAGTGGAATATGATGCTTCAGAAGGTGGTGGGGTCTCCTTATCTGTTCCTGAATGGCAGAATAGGTATGGACTGGATGGCCCCTATGACACACAGGAAAGCACATCTGTACATTATGTGGGAAGGAGCACTCAATCACTCTAAGAATGTGACTCTATAATCAATGGAGTCACAAACGACATCTACAAATGCCATCCAATTTTGATTCAACTGTGGAAAAGGTCATTATATAGTGATGTCAGCAAAGGTTTTTTTTTTCCTTTCAAAAATCAAGGAAGCAAGGTTAACACAATTAGCATAATAAGAAAAACGTGCAAGGCCCACTGTTTTGTGTTCACAAAGACATTATTCAATAGTTATGTTTCTTTTCTGTAAGTGTTTTTTGTTAATTTCCTGAAAGATAGAAAAATACTGTTAACGGCCATTAAGTCAACTTGGTCTTAAAGCAGATGAGGCTCCAAATTACCCTATCATCCAGAGCCCTACTCAGGGCTGTGATTTTACTGACTGGTTCTATCCACCTGGAATGCAGTGTTTCTCTTTTTTTACCACTTTCTAACTTTTCCACATAGTATTCTTTTCCAGTGAATCACATCTTCTCATTATATGTCCAAAGTACAACAGTCTCGGTTCAGTCATCTTAACTTTTTAAGGAGAGCTCGTGCCTGCCATATTTTAAATGAGTTGATTTCCTTCCAATCAGCTATATTTACTGTGCAGCTTTCACAAATATACATACAATTTGGAACGATGATGGCATGGATAGCCCTAACTTTAAAATTCAACTGTGTACCCTTACAGTTCAGAATGCTGTCTACGTTTTTTAAATCATTTCAAATCCTAGGATTAACTATGTTTACACTTATCAATCTTTAAACTCTGCAAGATGTTTTACGCTGTATTTTGGAATGATGGTTAGATTAGGGTTCTCACTACATTGCTGTTCATTCTTACATGCACTGGTAACATTTACTGGTTACATGAATAAACTTTTCCACATCCGTGACCAGAATGTGTTAAATAAGATTCAAAAGAGTTAGTGTGGTTTAGAAACCTATGGACAAGGTTCAAAAAAAGGAAGCAATAAATTTACGAAAGCTCAGATAAATGAACTCTCCCTTGAAGAAGGTATTTTGAGATCCACGTACTACATTTACATGCAGCCTTTATGCAAAGGAACCCAAGATAACCCACAAAGGTGATACCTTACAACAGTGGTTTTCAACCTGTGGGTCCCCAGGTATTTTGGCCTACAACTCCCAGAAATCCTAGCCAGTTTATCAGGTATTAGGATTTTTGGGAGTGAAGGCTAAAACATATGGGGATACACAAGTTGAGAACAACTGCCTTACAATGTAACTGTAGCAATACAAAGAAAGGGGGGGGGGAGAATAAGATTAATATAAGCAAGGCCCAACAGCCACTTGCTCTGCACACAGCTGGAGGAAAGGAGCCACACAGCAGCTAGTCCCAGACAGACATATGGAGGGCAACCACCACCTCAGTCACAGTTGGGTAGGATGACTAGTAGAGACAGAGTTCTAGCTAATTATAAAGTAAATTGCTTCCATGACACCTTTATCTGTAAACACAGGAAATATGAGCCTAACTTTGTTATTCTAACTGCCCTCGACCACAAAAAGGGGAGAAAAAGCAAGTCCTAAAAACACTTTAGAAAGAGAGAGGGAAGTGAGCCTGAATTGTGTGGTTCTCTGAAACAAGTTAATTAATGGAACCAACAAGAAGAAATGTATTTAAAAATAAACAGAATTAGAAACAATAAAATTGAGAAGAAGCAAAAATAGTGAGGACAACAAGAATGGAAGAATACGTATGGCTACAGAATTGCTCCAGATGTTGCAAACTGTGGCAAATAGAAGGCAATATCTAGCTGTGGAAGAATGACTGAAAATAGTACAATTTCCCATTTTTACCTGCACAGGCATGTAATGCTGCTTATAACTGATGGTTTTTGGATCTGATGGGGGAGGAAGAAAGGTATTTCATTCAAAAGTGCCTAAGGGCTTTAATAAGGAACTGTAAGTATGGTAATTGAGAGAACTGTTCCAAGGCAATGGAGATATTATGAGAAAGGAAAGGGGAAGTGATGCAAATAATCATGTGGAAAATATACTTATGCTCAAGGAACAAATGAGCTGCTTATATCTCTTGCCAGAATTTGATCACTCTACCTTAAAAATAAACATCTTGCATTTGAAACAGTATCTAGAATAAAATGTCATCACTTGTTTTGCCTTTCTCTGATCACTATACTTACATTTGTATAAAGCATTTGCCCTTATTGGTTTTAATTGGCATTTCCAGTGAGGAGAAAGGAAAGGGAGAGCAAGCTGCCAAGTCCACACTGAAGGCTGTGCAAGCATATGGATGTACACCACGTGCTCAAAATTATTGCATGGATTTAATACTGGCTGCCATGCAGCCTGGAGAATATAGTGTGCATATAAAATCCACAAAACTTCAAAGCCTCTCTGACGTCAAGTCACTAAGATAAATGACTCCAGGCAACTATGAAGGGCTCAGAGATTAGCAGCTGCATCGATACCACAGATTAGGGCTTGAAGAGAAGTTCCTCATTTTAGGAAGGGGGAAAAGCAATAACACTGTCAGTCAACGCTCTTTTCACTCTTTTGCAAAGAAGAGTTTCTCCACATACAGATAACTACTAAGGCAACGAAGTAATTACCATAGATAATGCTGGCTGAGATGTAAAGAAAGGCACTGACAATTTGGTATGCTACGGGGGCTTCTGTTTCTGGAACAACAAACCCTCTTGCCATAAGACAAAGAGCTTTTGACAATAAGGAGGCTTTTAAAAGTTGGAATATTACATAAGCAAATCTGACATTCAAAAAAGATACAATTAAACATGCCAAACTGCAGCCATCCTTCCACATCTGTGGGGGTAAGCATTTGCAGATATGATTATTCATGGATTGTTGTATTTACGACAGAATCTACTGTCATTCTACACATGACCCAAAAAAAAATTCTAGACATTTGCCAAAACTCCACCACTGGGGGATCTACAGATGCCCAGAAAAGTGTTTTTTAACATAAAAAAAATATGATCTGCATTTTTTATTTATATTCACTTTTATTTTTACTTTCTCAGGGACTCTACACTTCCAACCCCTGCAAAAGTGAATGGACTACTGCTCAACCCTACAAGCCATGTTTACAGTCATCATGCTTTTTACATCCTGATTGAGGTTAATTGTTTTTCAGAAGTCACATAACTTCAAATATTTTTTTCAAATCTTCAAGTTGCAGTCAATGTGAACACTTTGGTCACAAACTATTTTGTGTGGGTAAGCTAAAGTTCTAGACAGCCAAGCAATAAATTTCTCATGTACAGAATGGATTAAAACAAGTGTGGTATAGTTTGGGGGGACAGTTCTGAAAACCCACTGGGTGGTGATGGACAAGTCACTCACTCTCATCTTTCAGGGAACACAAAAATGAACACAACTGAAACCAATCTTGCCAAATAAACCCTTTGAGAGAGTCTTAGAGTCTCCATAAATCAGAAACACCTGGAAGGTACACAACAGCAACAGCAGCAACAAAGAAACTACAACAACATTGGAAGACCACACATTCTCCACCTTAGTGCTAGAGCCTTTGGTTCAGAGAGGCAGTTGCTAGGTGAGATTATTAAGGCTAGCAAAACAGTATTTCTATAATCATAGTTTGGGGAGTTTAATAAGCAAGTAACTATATTCTCTGTATAGTCTAAACATTGGAAGCTGTAAGATAGCACAGAAAGTCTTTTTTCTGTGAGGCTCATATTCTTGTGGGAGTTATTCTTCTAAGACCGTATACTGGGGGTATGCTGAGAAGGTCTTGTGAAGGGTGTGGCATGAGACACAAAAAAATAGGAACCATACCAGGAAGGTAGTACATAAGAGATACATAATCATTTCCTTCCCATCTCTGTGCCCGCTGGAAATAAACCCTTCCTGTAAAAATTAGAGGCAATAGGACAAGACTTGAGCCAAACTAGAAACCACATCACTTCTCTTTTTCCACTCAAAATAAATAAGTAAAGTAAGTAAATGAATAAAACCCAACAGAAATTAGCACAATTCTAAATATGAAAATGGATGTAAGAAGAGCTAGCAAGAGTGAAGAGCCCAAGAATACATATAACATTTAACACTGTAGAACATAGGCAAAATGAAAGCAAATTTTCCCCAAACAAACTTACCAATCCCCAAAGGGCTCCTTCTGTTGTGGCAACAATTGTCGCAGCTCTAGGAGTGTTGTACATCAGGGCCAGCTCCCCAAAACTGCCATGGTTATCATAGCGACCAACACAGCGGGTTTGCCCATCTCGTGCTACAAAGATATCATACAATCCCCTAGAATGACAGGAAATACAAACCCTGGGCATTAGAACAAATGGCAAACACTACTAACTACAAATTCAAGTTTAGCAAAACACAAGAAAGGAAGGATCTCTTCTCCCTGATAAAAACCATCTCTCTTCTGTGGTTTCAACAGAACATGTTCTGTCAGCATGTATCCTGACTTTCAAAATAACTTTGAATTTGGTACTCTAAATGAAATACAAATGTATTCTAAATATTCTGAAAATATCTTACAACATATTTTTATTAACAGATCTGAAACAGTATTATATAACATAGACCACCTAACTCTTCAGAGATGGTGAAACTGAGAGTGAGAGAAGAACTTGCTGAAAGGTTCACCAAAAACTGGTTGACATGCTATTTGAACCAGTATTGCCAGAATTTGGCACAGAGCAAAATTCACTGAGTTTTCTTCTTCAATGCCACTAAAAGTGGTAATACATATTCCTGATCATATTATATTTGGTCATTTGATATCAAGTATTCATATCAGAAGATAAAGGCTTTTAGTTTACAGTGTCATCTGGATGGGAAGGAATGTTTTCACCTCTCTCGGCATGAGCACATCTTATTTTCTGACTTCAAAACACGTAATGACTTGGAAAGGCCAGTGTCTTGTCTTTATTGCCAGTTTGGTTTTGTCAAATATAGATGTACTATTCAAAAGCTTTCCAACTGTGAACCAATTATTTATCTCAAAATCTCATTCTAATTGTCTTGGTTTTTTATTTATAGATAAACACAGAGAAAAGTTGAATGTCTGCAGATAATACTGTGCTACATTTTGTAGTCTGTCAGCCTTCAATCTGACCAATTTCCCCAAAGCATAGAACTAGCTGAGAAAACACTCCCCTACAGAAAAAGATTATGATCACTACAAAAGAGCAATACCTCTTAGTCTCTAGAGATTTTGTATCTTCAAAGTGTTTATAAAGACTGGAATGAGCACAGAGTTGCCAGAGTCTTATTGATAATTGCCTCAAACTTTTGTCTTCTCTTTTTACATTTTTGTCATTTCTTTTATTGTGTTCCAGCAATAAATAAATGTAAATAAATAATAAAAATAAGACAGTACTTCAGTATTTTGTCTAGACTTCCCTTTGAGGTAGATGTTCTTCCTTAGCCTTCTTGCATTCCATTTGGTGAAAAGAAAACTTAAATACTTATGTTTTTGTTTCTTCACAGAGACGACTACTCTTTCCTTATTTCCTCTAACTTTGAAATTTTTAAGACTTTTACAGTTTTACTTTTTATGTAGATATTCACTATTCCCATGAATTTCTCATTCATATTTTATTTATTGGTAGAAATTGTCTGCCCTTCATGTTATAAGACATATTCTTTAAGATATTTCTCTACTTTCTCCCACTCTTTCCACACCTTGTTTAGAGAGCTCCCTTTCATTATCCTAGTGAACCTGCCCATTTCATAGAATCATAGAATCAAAGAGTTGGAAGAGACCTCATGGGCCATCCAGTCCAACCCCCTGCCAAGAAGCAGGAATATTGCATTCAAATCACCCTATCATTTCTCTTAATTTCTGTTGCCATTCATGGATGGAAGGTACTTCAGTTATTTTCAACCTTTTTGCCAGAACTATTTTTACTGTTGTGGTGATAATAATAATAATAATAATAATAATAATAATAATAATAATAACAACAACAACATAATAATTATAATACTTGTAGGTTTATTAATCCATACTTCTATCATGTTGAGAAGACACAGCTGCAGTATAAATTCTAGTTCTAATTGTAAAATAACAATAATTGTATTATGTATCTTCTTCCAATAATTCTTAACCCTTTTACATTTTCATAACATATAGTAGAGGATACCTTTCTCACATTTCCAGCATAAATCTTTCCTTGTTTTATATATTTTAGCTAAGATATGTGGGGTTAAATACCATCAATATTGGGCTTTATAGCAATCTTCTTTAAAATCGCTAGAATACATAAAACTCATCATGTCTTCCTAGGCTCTTTCCCACTGATCAATGTCAAATCACACATCCAATATTTTTGCCCAAATCAGTATGTATTCTTTTATTGGTTCTAATTCTTGTTCTTTCTGTAGCAAAAATTTGCATATTTTGGAAATAGACATTGTCTCTTTATCACATATCAATTTATCAAATTCTGTTTCTACCAACTGTATTCCTTCTTGGGTTGCTATTAAGTTTTTCAAGTTGTATGCCCATGTTCCAGAAGCATTCTCTCCTGACATTTTGCCTATATCTATGGCAGGCATACAAGCAGGCGAAATGTCAGAAGAGAATGTTTCTAGAACATGGCCATACAACCCGAAAACCTTATAACAACAAGGTGATTCTGGGCATGAAAGCCTTCAACAATGTATTCCTTCTTGTTTACTACAGTATCCATTTTAAAATGCTCTGTTAGCTATACATATAAAAAAACTACTGCACTTTGACGCCCCTTTAAAAAAATTTCTCTAGTTTTTAGTCTTATAGATCCTTTATCTTTATCAATATATCTTTATATCTCAACCATCCTTTGAGGTACTGTGTTTCAGTTCTCATTAAAGCTTTGTGTGGTGATAACCATTGCAGTATTTTAATCCAAAATCTTAACATTTTCTTCTCTTTTTTAAATGAAAGTAGGAGGACTTCAGGTATACTGCAGCCTCCAAGATACTAGATAGATTCTAATATAGAAAGGCAGAACTACTGAATAATGGGTCCAAGTAACACTCTCAACCTGCAACTCCTAAATAAAATGGACCTTGTTAGCCTCTGAAATTTAGTTCTAGGACACACATCCCTATGGATAGCAAACGCCTGTGGCAAAATCAAGGTTTGCTTTCATCTGCATAGCTTTCAGCTTGGTTGAGTCTGTGAATGCAGAACCCATGGATATGCACACATATATGATTTGGGGCTTTTTACTCTATTTCAGCATTGAAGCTTTAAAAAATTAATATTAGGCAGGATTTCTGTGGTTGTTTTGTTTATTAAAAAAGGCAACAATAGTCACAAAACTAAACAATATTTACAAATTACTTTCTATGCAAATCTGAGTATATAATACACATCATTCACTTCCTTTCCATAAAGACTAAAGATTAAATATTGACATATTTTCAGCAGTATCCGGAAATCATCCAAGAAGCATAACATGGGAACTGACTTTTATTAACATGCCTTAAATAGCAGGTGTCACTGTTTTTCAGAGATAAGAAGGAGATCCATATAAAGTAATATCTGTAAGCCAGACATACAAAATGCTAATATGTGAAACAAGCTAAACAGAATCCCAGTTGAGTTAAAAATCAGCAGCAGAATTCCAAGCTGCTGCATTTTAAAATCTTTTACATTTTTTTCAAATGCATGCTTCAGCAGTTTAAAGAAATCTCTATGACATTCTTCGTCCCTAGTGTTTTTAGAGTATAGATTCTACCACTTTTCCTCTGCACATATCCTTTTGAATGTTTTATTGCACCTTCTATTGTAAGTCACCATGAGTATTTATTTAAAGGACAGGATATGCATGCCAATATTAATGAAAAAATGACATTCATCTAGAAATCTCTGAAAATAATCTTGCAGTGACTCAGACTATGGCTGGTTTGGAGTCCTGGGAGATTCAATTCCCACAGCCATGTCTCTGTCACATTCTTCTGGCTAACACTTGTTAGCATTCCATTTCCAGAGGAAGTCATAAGCATACATAATTAAATTTATTTTTATTAGAATTAAATAGGTGTTTACCATTATGCTTAGTGCAAAAATATTTAGAGGAAATATTAGCATGATTATTTATATTTTTCCAAACAATATAAATATTAGGCTTGTGCATCAACAAAAAAATGTTTTAATACTCATTACTAAATTAGGGGGGGGGGACGACTTTTCTAAAGTGTTTCTAAAATATTGTTATGGGTTCGTATCATAACTATAATGATATAACGATTTTTTTGTTATGTTTCCGTTATGTACTTATGTGAGGGAGGGAACTTCCAGGACTTCCTTCTCCCTCATTTTTAGAGCTATCAGGATGAAACTTGCGACAATGGTTGAACACATTTACCACTTTTACCGCTCCCCCCCCCCAAAAAAAATTCAGAACATTTCACCCATCCACTAATCTTGGGGATTTAAAAAAAGGTTTTTATTAACAACATTCTTTTTAAAAACTACAAGTGCTATCTCCTTGAATTTCTATTTCCAATGATACAAAAGAACCATGGCATCATTCCCTTGCCCCCCGGGGGAAGGCTTCAGAAAGATCTGCACATCCAATAATTTTTAGGGAATTTTAACCAACATTGGGACCATCCAGTCCAAACCTCTTCTTCCAGGCAAGAAAAGCACAGTCAAGCTACCTCCACCCTTCATCCCCGCCAACAGATGCCCATCCAGCTTTTGAAATAACAACAACAACAAGAAATCTACTAGGTAAACTTTGGTTACTGACTCTCAACTTTGCCTACCTCACAGGGTTGATTCAACTCACAACAATCCCTTTTTATCTTGAAATCTCTTTAGAGAATGAACACGGGTTTTCCCCCACCAAAATTTTCAGGGAGGAGGGGGGGAGGAGGCAGCACAGGCCAGTAAGCGGAATTCTGGGAAATGTAATTTGGAAAGGTGAGGTGAATTCCTGCCCTAAACTACATTTCACTGAATCCTACTCACTTGCCGTGTTAAAGACTCAATGTGAGTGTGGCCTCTGCCAGTCTCTCTCTGGGCCAGTCATGTGCTGGAAGGGGCTTCTTCATTGCCCAGCCATCTAGCCAGGCATCCCTCCCTCCCCACCCCTTTTGGGGAAAGAGCAGAACTTCTTCCTCCACTCTGGCCACTTCTTCCTTGGGGCCCTTTGGGGAGTCAGGGAGGGATGGAAGGAAAAAAGAAAAGCTTTTTGTTTTTTGTTTGGAGGAAGAGGAATTTGGCTGCAGTGGTAGTGTGATCAGAACAACATCAGGGAAATGAACTGAGAACCTAGAAGGTTGCTTTCTCACTAGAAGTGGCAGATTGAACTTTACCGGTCCATTTTTCTGTCTGTTGGAACATGTATGAAGAACAATTCATTGTGAGGATGCCTTCCTCCACTACATGGTAACGATTGTTTGATGTATTATAAAACCCATAATATCAAAAATAATGCAAATGCAAGACACCTACAATTCAAGGGTTTCCAATGAACTGTCTGAAAATGTCATTTCCAAGGGATTAAAGAACCAGAATGTATGGTATTGCCCGTTATTATGCTTTCTTTCAATCGCAGCATATGACTAGACATATTATCTCTCCTTAATTTTAGAAAGTTTTACTTTTCTAGGTGTGCATTCCTGGCTACTAAAATTAAAATAGTGATATAATATTTGACACCGTAACTCCTAAAACCCATGACAAACCACACCTTTGATTTCTTACCGTTCAATGACATAAAAGTTGTCACCATCATCTCCTTGGTCAATTACATGTTCCTGAGGTTGAACTTTTCTTTCAAACATGGCATCAAGAACTTGAGACAGCTGCTCCTAAAAGCACAATAGTACTTTGATTAACATTGTTTTCTATAAACATTGGGCATGCTTATTTTATGACCCAAATCCGCTTGTTTATGACTAGAGTTCTGAGCACTCTGTTTTTTGTTCTTTTGCCAACAGCTTGCTTCATATAATTTTTGAACACATGTTGACGAACAAGTTTCTAAAAATATTAAACATTATTTTAAATCTAGTGTAAACTTCTCTTTACAACACACATACACACCACATTCCACCAAACATGCTTATCTTGTTCTGAATTTAATCCATTGCAGGATATACATAGGATTTTTTTTCCTACACACAAAAGAATGTAAAGCATGAAGCAATCCAACTGCAAAATTTTGGAGTCACCGCTTGTTTTAAGTCAGAAGAGAACACTTAGGTCCTCTGGGGGACAGCTACTCCAGCCTGCAAGAAACTAACAGGCAACTGTCATCCAGAGGACCTTTCCATCAGCTGCCCAAGACTGTGAAATAACTCTGTATGTCTTGTTGTGTCTTTTAGTAATGTTTTAACTCTTGTTTTAATGATGTTGAAGAGAGGCAGGTAATAATCTTCATCATCATCACCTCTAGATGATTTGGCCTACCACTCCCATTAGTCTATCGACTTCAGAACAACCAAGAATAAGAGACTGTAAAACATCCAGAAAGCCAAGGATCTCTTTCCTGTTCACAGCAGTTAAAAGCTAAAAAACCGAAGAGCTTCCTGAACTAGTTCTTTTAGCCTCCATTATCCATATGCAAAATGAATGTATGTTCTGAGTTACCCTCACAAGGGATGTGTGAGAAAGCATAGGTGAGAGCAATAAAATACTTTAAAAACTAAATTATTTAAATGAGAGTATATTTATTTATTTATTTATACTCCGCTGCTGCCATCTCCCCAAAGAGACTCGGGCGGCTCACAGAAGCACTAGGAAGTGCCGCATATAAACAAATAGTACATAAGGAAACAAACAGCTTAGGTACTATTTGTTTATATGCGGCACCAAGAAAAATACATGCTATATTGAATAAGACATTGTTTTGCATAACACATTCTTCTGAACACTATAGGACAGTAGTCTAAACAGATAATTAAAGAGCCCATTTCGATAATTTCAACATTATCCATACAAATTGGAAAAGGTTCCATTTTGAAGAACAAAATAAAACCAGACAAGAAATAATTTATGAAATGTCTGAACAATCACAATTCTTAAAAAAAGCTCCAAATACAGAAATGTAGCATGTTCTGTAAAAAAAAAAATTGGTCAAAATCTCCTTGATAAATTACCTACCTAGGAAAATATAATCTGAAGTAGGACAAAAAGGCATTATACTTTAATCAACTCAAAATACAAAGGAAAATTTAGTAAAGGAATTTTGAAATGTAGGAGAGTTTAGAATAAAACCACCTATTCACCATTGTGATCTAAGTTATTAATATTCCTATTTTAATAAAATGTCAAAATACTGTGACATATCATTTTATTTACTCATTTGTGAAGCTGATTGTATAATGGGTCTGGATTCAAAAATGTGAAACTTTACAGAATTAAGACTATATGCAAACAAAGAGAATAAAATATTGTTCAATTTCACAAGTGCTACAACAATTGGCAATGATGACTGGAACGGAACATGGATAACGAGATTGGATTGTGATTCTACGATGAGACGTCGCGAATGATTTAGTGTAATTGTATTATTGACAGTGATGTTGTTATTGTTGTTTGTGATATTGCCTATATTGTAATTTGTTTTTTATATGTTGTACACCGCCGTGAGTCGCCCTAGGGCTGAGAACGGCGGTCTACAAGTGCATTAAATAAATAAATAAATAATGGTCCACCCTCTCAGTTTTCCTTTTGCTCCTAGGCAAAGCTTTCTTATAATTAATGCAAAGCACGCCTGTTTATAATTAAATATGATCTCTCTAAATTAAGTTCATATTGTTCAGGTGGATAGCAAAGAAGCCTAGTATCACACATAACCTTATATACATTTTACTTGTTATTAAGAATTTGATTGATGTTGGCACTTCATAGAATAAGAAGAAGAACTTTATTTTTTTACCCCGCCTCCATCTCCCCGAAGGAACTTGGGGCAGCTTACATGGGGCCCAAGCCCAAGACAGAATATAATTAAAAATAAAGCAGTAACAATTAAGACAGCATAAAACAGCGTAAAACAGGTAAAGGTAGTCCCCTGACATTAAGTCCAGTCATGTCTGACTCTGGGGTGTGGTGCTCATCTCCATTTCTAAGCCAAAGAGCCAGAGTTGTCCGTAGACACCTCCAAGGTCATGTGGCTGGCATGACTGCATGGAGCACCATTACCTTCCCACCGGAGCGGTACCTATTGATCTACTCACATTTGCATGTTTTTGAACTGCTAAGTTGGCAGAAGCTAGTGCTGACAGCGGAAGCTCATGCCGCTCCCCGGAATTGCACCTGCGACCTTTCGATCAACAAGCTCAGCAGCTCAGTGCTTTAACCCACTGCGCCACCGGGGGCTCCAGCATAAAACAACATAACAATAATAGTTAGCAACAACAATAACAGCAGACTAATTTTGGAGGGGAATAAAAAAGCCACTACGTGTTTTTTAAGTGTTTTAAGGTGTTTTAGTAAGGTGGATAACAATGTATAATGGCATAGGAAATATCATGGAAACAGAACAAATTAACAGGATCAGAAACAATTAAGTTAATATAGTGTAGGACATCAGATTAAATGGCGATTCAGGTCATGATACAGGCCATTTGTCATAGGAGTCGTCAATCAAAAGCACAACGAAACATCCACGTCTTTAATTCATAGCTGCTGCTTTATTTCATTACTGCCAACTTTTAAATTATTTAAACCCTAAATGCTACAATGACTAATTTAAAATCAGAGAGGATTATCCCAGTACTCTCTAAGAGCTGTGACATAAACTCTAGACCTACTTCTGTAGCCATTTTGGAACTACAGTCCATTTGCAGAACAGATATTTAGTCGTAAAATTGCTTCTCCCCATTCAAATCCTATCAAAGAAAGTTCCAGGGTTTTTAGGATAGTGGGATTCCCATGCTCATGCTGGTTTTTCCCCCCTGAATCATCACTGAGAGGATGCATACTGTAGTTAAAGAACTTATAATAACATAAAGAAAAGCTAGGGAAAAAACGGGTTGCAAACATTTAACAAAATCACAATTTTCTAACAGCTAACAAGTGAAATAGGAGTTTCTATGCAGGTCAGGAGAAAGTCTGTATGCTGCTGGGAACAAAGTGGCAAGCTGATCAATTTTCAGTGACCAAGACCAACATACTGCCTATCAACTTTCCTGGCAGATACCACTCCAGTTTCTAGCTAACCTTTTTTTAAACAACATAGACAGGTTCACCTCCAATATCATCCTATTCTATTACTAGGAGGGGTAATCAAAAGTTTAGTAGGCTGCCATGCTATGTCTCTCCATTCTAAGACAATAATACTATCAGCAATAATACTTTTCTGTCACTGCGGGTAAGAAAAGCAAACATGATTCTCCATAAATTAGACTCCCATTCATTGGGATAATGACTATTCAAACAAAATGTCTCCTATCTGAAAAAGAGGACATGATGGCAATCTTCTCTCTGTGTGAAGGTTTCAGTGAAACTGATAAAAAATTTCTATCCAATCCCCTTTATCTAGCATAACTGACACTTCGCTAAGTCCAGGACTAAACCCTTAATACAGTTGATGTGTGAGGTGTTGAAAGATAAGGCAGAGCTCTTTTAAGACACATGTTCACATTTCTTAACTTCTAACCTTTTTGTTTTTGTCTCATTTACAATTGCAAAGTACCACACTTACCATATTTTATGATGTTTACGTGTATAATGTTTTAATGTTTTTAATTTGTATTTATGTATCTGTTGCTTTTAGTTAATTTGTTATGTATTGCTTTTTGTATGTATACTGTGGTACTGAATTTTGCCAAATTGTAAGCTGCTCTGAGTCCCTCTAGGAGTGAGAGAAAATGGGATAGAAATATAGTAAGTATGTAAGTAAATTAATGCTCCCCTTTTTTGGCTAAATTACCTTGCCAAAATTAGGGTGCACATTGGATTTGTGTAATATGATGATCCTACTGCTGAGCCATGAGCCCCTGGTGGTGCAATGGGTTAAACCCTTGTACCGGCAGGACTGAAAACCGACAGGTCAGAGGTTCAAATCCGGGGAGAGTGTAGATGAGCTCCCTCTATCAGCTTCAGCTCCCCATAAGGGGACATGAGAGAAGCCTCCCACAAACATGGTAAAACATCAAAACCTCCAGGCGTCTCCTGGGCAACATGTTTGAAGACAGTCAATTCTCTCACATCAGAAGGACTTGCAGTTTCTCAAGTCGCTACTGACATAAAAAAAGAAGTGCTGAGCCAAGGCAAAAGGGAAGCTGCCTCAGGATCACCTGGAGCTCCTAATTTAATTGTCATGGCTCAATGTTATCCAATCTGCAGTTTGGTGAGGCAATTAAAATTGACTCAGTCTATAGCATAGATATACCCCAAGGTTTTCCTTTCCATTGTTGAAAGCTTAGGTACAGAGGCTGGATGGCCATCTGTCAGGGGTGATTTGAATGCAATATTCCTGCTTCTTGGCAGGGGGTTGGACTGGATGGCCCATGAGGTCTCTTCCAACTCTTTGATTCTATGATTCTATTATTCTAGGTAATCTTTAACATTTTTGTTTTTAAAGAAGGAATTCTAAAACCATGCACTACCTAAAATGGCCAAATTACAAAGAGTGCATTTCTTGCTGTTGCACTTTACATTTGGCAGCAAATTAAAGTTTTGTTTTGTTTTTTTCTTGGTTTCAGGTGTGCACTAGATTGGATGGCGCATTAGACTTGAGTAAATATAGATATACACTTACATGCTGGTTAAAAGATTAGAAATACTGTAAGTAATAATGTAACTATACTGCACAAACAAAATTATTGAAACTCCTAGATTCCAAAGTGTTCGATGTCTAAGT